CAGGAACCCTTCTAATGAGAGGATGCCACTCACTGTATCAGTGCAGTAACAGCACCTTTAGTCTTAGTGCATTTCCCAAAGAGGCTGAGCAGAAATGCTCGCCCCAAGGTGGTGTTTTCCCTCACCTCTTTGGGCCAAAACTCCCTTCCCTCCAGCTGGTCCTCCAGGTAGTCCCGGATGATGTTGGTTTTCTGCAGGAAGAGGCCCATGGAGTTTGCCAGCTCTGTGTCCTGCCCGACGATGTGATCTTCCAGCTCTGATGCAGAGAAGAGACGGGAAAGGCCAATCCCCACCAGCCCAGCAACGTAGTGACAATACTGTGAGGCACCGAGAGGAGAAGGGGCAGGAAAAAGAAGAGAACCAAGATAAAAGGAGCAGTTACAAAGAGCTGCCTATTTGCCACAGCAAGTTTTACTAACACAATGCTCAGAAGTAATTGGCAGTACATCTGCACGTCCTCATAGCCCTCCCTGGGATGCCTCAGCTTTCCCATGCCCAGCAAACACCTCTCCAAGGACATCCCTCCAAGGACATCCCTCCAAGGTGCCACTCTGCCTCCAGCAGCCAAATGAACTTCCCGCAGGGGAACAATACATGATGGGTCACCCAAAATACGTGCTGGTGGGCAATGCCAACAACCCATGACATTCTCCTGTTACCCACAGGACCAGGGGTCTCTCAAAGCCCTTCCAAGCCCACAGCAGCCTCCCTCAACCAGCTGAACCTTCTTCCCACAGAGATGCTGTGCCTCCTCTTTCCCCAGAGACCAGGTGGACCCTACTCATGTTCAGTCTCTGTCCAAGCTGACTTACCTTATCCCACTCGTGCTGAGAGTCCACCTTCTTCTCCAAGAACTCGGCCATCCCGACGCCCATCTTGTGGCAGATATCTGAAATCACGTCCTGGTAGACCTTTGACAGGTTCCTGAACTCCATGGAGATCTGCAGCACAAAAAAGAGCAGCAAGAAAAAAATAGCAGAGCTCAATATTTATTAAAAAAAATCAGAAAAAGGCTGTTTACCAAGCTCTTATCCCACCCTGCCTGGAGATGTAAGACAACTCCCACAGCCAGAGACGTTTCAAGGCCCTTGAAGCACAGGCTCAGTCTGTTCTCAGTCTAAATGTTCTCTGGCGGTAGATCAGACACAGCAATAACTTTGGGAAGGCTCTGTGGCCTTGGACTGCTATCACGTGGGAGCTGCAGGACAAAACTTGCTACACTTGGTGCACATAGTTGTTTTTTGGGGTTTGGGTTTGTAATTTATGAGAGCATCCCCATCACGCCAACCCCGGGAAGAAACAGGGGAGGCTGCCTGTGCTCTGCTCTCCTGAGCCCTCTTCAGCTCTGCCTCCACAGGGCACATTTTGCAAAACTGGAAAGGCATCAAGCAACGGAGAAAGCATGAAATCTTTCTTCTGCATGTCCAATAACACGACTCAGTGACTCAGTCGCTCTCACACTGGAAAAAAATTTAAAAAGTGCATCTTCCCTTTCCCAAAACTGTGGAGTATCACTTTTTATTGTGCTGAGCTTTATTCCCCATCAGTGGGTAACTACAGCCAGTGCACGGTGTGTGTCTGAACGATCACAGACACCACTGCAGATCCAGGCTCGCCTCCTTGCCCTGTGTCTCAGTCTGTCTGTAAAGTAAGTGTTATCGACTCTGCTTCTGTCTCAGTGGCTTGAATCCACTGCACAGAGAAGCACAACCTGCAAGTACTCCTCTACCAGGTATCATTAAAATCATACCTGAATGTGAACTCAGATTGTTGGAGTGAATAACACGTGCACAGGAAGAGAGAACAACAAAGTGCCATAAACACCTTCATAAAAGCTTTACTCTACACATCGAGAATCCCCTGACACGGCCACATCCTATAGCACAGGCCTCTCCCAAATAGGGCACAGCCGCTGTTATCCCAAGGCTGAGCATCAAAATTCACAAGACGCCTCAGTTTTCCAAAAAATTATCCCATTCCCACTGTTAGGGAAAGCCTGAATAGGGGAGAATAAATTTAAAATGGTAACAAGTTGAACAAAACAGAACTGAAATGAAATATTCCTCACTACAACTATTATACTTTTTCTAAAACAGAGCATAAAAAAAAACCCTAAGAAGTAAACCCAGCTATTTTTGATCAACATGAGCAGCAGCAAAACTGCAGCATCCACCAAGGGCCAGTTCCTGCAACTCCACCAAAACCAGACGTCTGTATCCCCACTCAGCAGAGCCCAGCCTCGCCGTCCAGCCACAGCATCTCCTTGTGGAGGTGCAGACTCCCTGTGGCTTCATTTCAGAAGGACCCTCAGAGCAGTAAGACTTTGGGGAATATTGTTACTAATAGTGAGGGTGCTTTTCATCTCATCTACACGTCAAAGATCTGCAGACAGACTCCTGCAGCTCTAAAGCAGATCCTGCAGGACTGCTGCAAACACTGGTCCATCGGTAAGTCAGATACCAGAGAAGTCTCCTATCTTTAGGGGTCACACGACACCCGACCCATGCAATGCACAGTGCTGGGTAACAAATCCAAACCATTCTCCACGAGGACACAGTTACAGAATCACAGAATGGTTTGGGTACAAAGGGACCTTAAAGGTCTCCCAGTCCAACCCCCATGGGCAGGGACACCTCCACCAGCCCAGGCTGCTCCAAGACTCATCCAGCCTGGCCTTGGGCACTGCCAGGGAGGGGGCACCCACAGCTTCCCTGGGCAACCTGGGCCAGGGCCTCACCACCTGCACAGTAAAGAATTTCTTCCTTGTAGCTACTCTACATCTTTCCTCTTTCAGTTTAAAACCATAACCCATCATCCCATCACTCCATACCTCATAAAAAAGTCCCTCTCCAGCTTTGGTGTAGCCCCTTCAGGTCCTGGAAGGTGCTCTAAGGTCTCCCAGGAGCCTTCTCTTCTCCAGGCTGAACAACCCCAACTCTCTCAGCCTGTCCTCATAGCAGAGGAGCTCCCCTTTACTCTTCCAACAGGGGAAGCAAGAAGCCTCTTTTCAGAGCTGACCCTTTTCCCTGGACAGGCTGTCTCCAGTTCACATGAAGGGTGCACAATACTTGGGTTTCTCACTCCAGCTCTGCATCCATGCAGGTACAGGTGATGCAGCTCTTCTGAAGAGCTACAGGCTCGCCAAAAACTGAACAAGCTCAGGTGCAATGTGGAGAGGCAATCACGCACACCAAGGTGACAGTAGGAGGTGGATGCCTTACCGTTGGGAAGTCCTCGAGCACCTGCCGGTCCTTCTCCTTGCTCTCCATGTATTTCCACTCTGGTTGATAGAGATAGGTGTGAAACTCGTGCAGCATCGGGACCTTGACATCTAAGCTGATGCTCATGTCATCCTCTACAGTGTCCAGGGCACGCAGAACTAGGTAGAATATACAGACGGCATGTCTGGGGGAGGAGAAAAAACAACCATCCCTTACTTGGGACTGCCAATTAGGGAGGACAAACAGCTTGGATTAACCCCACAGCCTTCAGCAGAGGCGCTCCCAGCTCAACACAGCATGCACTGGCACCACCAGGTTTTTGCTGCCTTTGGAAGAGTATAATATGGTACAAGCACTTCCAGCACAACTTGCTTTCATGTTTCAAGTGATATGGTACTTCATCCACCTCAGAAAGGCAAGTGGTGGTGTGAAAACCTTCCTGGCCCTCATCGTTGTTTCCCAGTGCCTCCTACAGCTTGGAAGCTGGCTTTGGTCAAGGGATGCTCATGTCCAAGCCCTTCTCCGTCAAATCAGAGGATGGTTTGGGTTGGAAGGGACCTTTAAAAGTCATCCAGTCCAACTGCCCTGCAATGAGCAGGGACATCTTCAACCAGCTCCAGGGTGTCAGCTTCCCCAGGCCTCATCTGGGGACAGCGGCTGTCCCCTGCAGTGCAGGAAGGTAAAACAAATTCATTATAAACGTGCTGCTCAAATCCCAGGGTCACAGGAGGAGGCGAGGGGATGGAAAGCACTGAGAGCAGCGCTTCCCACCTACCTTGTGGCACAGCTTTTGGCTTTCTAAGATGTGTATCGCGGAAGGGACAGGTCTGTAAGGTCTCCCTGGGCAGAGCAGTGCCAAATCTAACCCTGCATGCAGGATCCAACCTGCAAGCAAGGGCAGTGCTCGTGAGGACCCAGAGGCCAGAGCCTGAGGTCAGCTTCTTGGAAAAAGTAAATGCAGAATAAGGAAGGGGGAAAAAGTGATGTACTTGTCCTGTCACTTCCCCTTCTCTGCACCCAGTACCCTTTTATCCTGTCTGGGAGAGGAATAAGGAGGTCCCTTACTGTGCAACAGGAACATTAGGACTGGCAGATAGAGTCAAAAACACCCTGTATATATTTTATAGATAAAAAAATATAAATAATATAAGATATAAATATAGATATAGATATAAATATAGA